GGCGGCCTCATCGTGTCCTCTCCATCCATCATTCTTGGGTGCATGTGTCTCCTCGGCTGTGGTTTGTTCGTGGCATCCCCATGGCCAATTTTCGGCCAGCAGTTGTGAGCAAAAACCTAAACACCACAAGATGATGAAAGCTGTTGTGACGATGGTGAGTTTGACTTGTGGTTTTGGTGGCAACGCGAGTAGTGCAGCACACTCACCCATGCCCGCTACCCCGTGTTACCCTCTCCTGGCGACCAGAAGCACGCACGCGAAGACATCGCCAACACCCACCCGAACAACGAAGCAGTACACATTATCTGGGGTGGGGTGTGAGTGAGAAAGGGAGGAATGAGGGAGCCACAGCTGCCAACCAAAGCCAAGCCAACATGAATTTTCATTTTCCTTGTGCTGGCGGGACACAGAAGAGGACGTAAGCAGGACATTCGTATCGACTCTCGCTCTTGGCTTCTCTTGCTGCTCTGCAGGTGCACTCAGGTGGGCTTCTGAGCGATTGTGTGGCATGAGGTCTTGAGGGCTCGAGGATCTGCACACTGGACTGCACCAACAACGTCAAGCATGAGGATGTGAGGCGACGTGTTCCGTGCTGTGTGTGCGGCAGATCAGGTCTTGAACTGGGGTGGCTTTACACATCAATTGTGCTTGCATATGCCCATGCACGCGAGGCACACGTGCCTCTTCCCTTCGTTGCTGCATCTCACGTGCGCTCGATATCACACACGTGTGTCCGCTTTCCATGCGTCGAACAGAAACACGCGCAGGGGCTTAACTGTGTGGAATTTTCACACCACCCTGCAAAACGGTCGCGGGTGGGTGATGGTTTGGTTTGCCGCATACTGTGCGGAAAGGGCATGACGGTTGGGGTGTCGCCGTTGTGTTATGGTGTGACGTTCGGACATTGCTCCTGCATGCATGGTGGCTGCCGTACCAACACAGTGGTTGGTCCTTTGGTCGGTCGGAGCAGCCACATCACAGTAACACCAGCAAACCAGGGCTTGGTTATTCGAGGTGTGTCCGTATGCATGTGTGTGTGTGTGTGTTTGCTTGAGTGTGCGTGTTTGCTTGAGTGTGTGGTGCGCTTGTGTGTTTGATGTGTGTGTGTGTGTGCGCGTTTGTGCGAATGCATGTGTGGGTGTTCGCGTGTGTGTTTGTCTGTGTCTGTGTACTCTGTGTGTACTATGTGCGCTTGTTTGATCGAATGTGTATGGGTATGGGTATGTGTGTGTGCGCGCGTGTGTGTATGTGGATCAACATTCTTCGCTATGACAGTGTTCTCATTGGTCTGGCACAAGTACACGCGCACCTTTCACACACGCACACACACATACATACACTCACACGCTCTCTCTCTCAACGCCTCCTCTCTCAACGCCTCCTCGGATTTTCTCACCGTTGAGGCCGTCCAATCTTTTTTTCCTGGCCGTTTGCTCTTCCTCCACGCCGCTGCACCGCTGGTGATGTGAGCACCAGCATGCAGTCTGTGTCATTGCACGAGGACATAGACGGGTGGAGAACAGCTTTCTTCGCCTCAGGTGGAGCCCTGAACAACGGTTGGGACTCAAGGATGAACCAGCGTGAGTGCGTGAGAGAGAGGGTGTGTGTGTGTGTGTGTGTGTGTGTGTGTGTGTGTGTGTGTGTGTGTGTGTGTGTGTGTGTACGCCCACACTCACTCACCTATCAATTACATAGACAGGAAATACAAAGTTATACCCACATACCTCCCATACACACCATCTCTACACGGGCCCAGGTGGTCTGGTCTGGGTGATCGCGTGAGCGCGGGGCAGGTGAAGAGTTAGTCGTTACGGATACGGCTCCAGCACGTTTGTTGTCATC